TCCAACAAATACATTCATATCAATGATTCTACAAAAAGCTTGATGTGGCAAGAAACCTTATGTTTCATACATGAGGATTTTTGAATGTATTGCATATGCAAAGATACCAAATTGTATGAGGTCCAAACTTGATGCAAAAGGTATAAAATGTATGTTTGTTGGATATTGTGAAGGTATCAAGGCATATAGGCTAATATATTTAGAAATCAAAAAAATCATCAAGAATCTTAATGTAGAGTTTTTTGAGCATAGGAATGCTTATGAGCACTTGAAGATGTATCTAAGTCGGAGTAATGGTATATTTGTGGATACAACTTCAATTTCAGTAAAGAAGTAGATGAACATGATGACATTGATGATAGCAAAAATTCAAATTAAAATGAAGAGCCAAAGAAGGTAGACTATAGTAAGCCTACTATTGCTAAAATCAGTAATGAAGACAATGAAGATGTTAAAGATGATGATGATGATGAAGAGTATCAATCTTTGAATGTGAAGAAGTAAAATTTAATAGAAAAGAAGCTTATAAGAAACCTTGGGATAAAAGAAGGTGAAGCTTCATCAAGTGAAAGGAGATATTTTTTGAGAGATAGAAAACAACTTAGTGTATAGTAGAAGAATCACATCTTTCTTCAAGTAAGTGAAGAACATGCCAAAGTTATACTCTCTATTGATCCATTTAAGTTTGTGTAATGCAATGAAGTCTATGGATGCTATGAAGTCGAAGAATGCCATTGAAGAAGAGTACAAATTATTCATGGACAATGGAGCATGGAAATTGACTCAACTTCCACCAAATCGATCTTTAATTGGTTGTAAGTCAGTATTTAGAATTAAAAAGGATACAATGGACAATACTATGAGATATAAGTCTAGATTGGTTGCCAAAGGCTACTCACAAGTTATTGGTGGTGATTTCAATTAGACATTTGCTCTCGTGGCCAAATCCACTACAATTAGAACCATTTTTGCAATTGGGGTAGCAATGGAGTTAAAGATGCATCAAATAGATGTGAAAATGGCTTTTTTGAATGAAAATCTAAAAGAAGTCATTTACATGGAGCAATCTCAAGGATTTGTAGAAGAAGACAAATAACATCTTATTTGTAAGTTGAATAAAACCTTGTATGGGCTCAAGTAATTTTCAAGGACATGGTACCAACGCATTGACACATTCTTTTGAAATGAAGGATTTTTAACAAATAAATTTGGTCATTCCTTGTATATGATATAATTAAGTGAGTTCATATTGATTGTCATCCTCTATATTGATGATTTGATCATCTTAACCAATATTATGAAGATGATGGATTGATTGAAGGCAAAGTTAGAAAAGAAGTATGAAATGAGTGATTTGAAAGAGCTTCACTATTGTTTAGAAGTGGAATTTGTGAGAAATCATATTAAAAAGACCATTATAGTGAGCCAAAAGAAGTACATTGAAGAAGTGTTGAAACGATTCAACATCGAAGAGTGTAAGCCTATTGAAACACCTTTGGAGGATAATTTGAAGATGATGAAGCTCACGGATGAAGAATTTGCTAAAGTTGAAGGTGAAATACAAGATGCTCCATATAATGTAGTAGTGGATTTACTTATATATACAATGATTGGCACAAGAGTGGATCTTGTATATGTAGTGAGTATTGTGAGCCAATACATATGAAAGGTTAGACCAATCCATTGGACAACCATGAAAAGAATCATGAGGTATTTAAAAGGTACTTTGCATTTCAAATTGTGCATTGGAGGTGATAACATTAATTTGGATGGTTATTGTGATGCAGATTGGGTTGGAGATGCAAATGATAGAAGATCAAGAATAGAATTTGTATTCTTTATTAGAGTGGGAGCTATTTTGTAGAATTGCAAGAGACAACCAATAATTACAAGGTCAACAATAAAGGTGGAATACATGATAGTAAGCAATGGTACAATGGAGGAAATATGGCTAAGATAACTTTTGGAGTACATTGGAATACTACAAATAAAAGAAACTCAAATAGAGTGAGACAAGCAAGGATGTCTTGCATTTGCAAAGAATCCAAAGCATTACTCAAGGACCAAATACATTGACATTCAACATCTTTTTATAAAAGAGAAGATTGAAATGGGAGTGATTGATATGAAATATTGTATGACAAAAGACATGTTTGGTGATTTGTTGATAAAAGTAATAGTAAAGGATAGAAATCATGTGTTGACAATGGCATTAGGATTGAAAGCCTTTGACTAAAAGCAAAATGAGAGTATTAAAGTAAGTAAGTAAAAGTGAAAATAAATTAAGTTATCTTGTAGAAGATATTACCTTAGATAAGTTGTTATTGATAAAATGATTGGTTCTTGATATGTTAGAAGGCCAAAAGATAAAATAGATGAAATGACCAAGAATCTTAAGAATATATAAAATATGCTAAAAGTATATTTTTATAATAGATAAGATAACAATGAATAGTCTTGGTAGAAAGTTGGATGGATGTATTCATTAAACAATGGAAGTTGTCAATTAAGGTAGCAGCCACCACCTTAAGTAATGGGTGTTGGAAATAAGTGATATCTTATTCCATACTCTCTTTCTATGAAACTTTGTTAATACTAAGTGTTGTGACTTCATAGTGTTTTTTCTTCAATAGTTCTTTAATACTATTTATAATGTAGATTATTTTTTATTAAAGATATTTTTATTTCTATTATTATAATTAAAAAGATATATAATAAATTATAAAATAACTAAAAATATAATTTAAAATATAATTTGAAATTTTAGTCTTAGAATAGTACTTGTAAATATTAATAGAAGAAATCAATAGATAGATAAGAATATGGTGCTTATTGTAGCTACTTTAGGATTTAAATTGGTTTATAAATATAATACATATATAATTATTGCAAAAAACTTTACAATACAAATACTACATGTAAGATTATCAATCAAGTTATTTTACAAACAACTAATAATTAGAATGATAATAATGTGTCTACTTTATATATGCCATTATATATCATTCATTTGCAACATACATATTTGTAAATATAAACCATCAACCATATGCCATATTTTTAGACTTGTAGAGATTGTATTATCCACCTAAGCAATTTGTAATCCATTAAAGCAATCTAATATCTATCACAGTGATTAAACGGTATAAGGTCAAAGCAATGAGAGGAAAGATAAGAGCAACATTGACAATGCCACCACAAAATGCAAAGGCACCTCTCAAGTATGGCTAGAGAGGGTCAATATTAAAACATTGAAATAGTACATTAGTGATAATCAAGAATTAGTAGAATAGAATATAATATTATCAAATAATAGAATCTCAAGAAAAAATAGTACTAGGCTTGATTCCATGTAATTTCAAATCTTAATAACAAAATAGCTTGTTTATAGATCAATGCATATTATTGGAAATCATGACTATCACCAAGTTCTATTTTGTGAATGCTTAGAGCTTCTAAAGCTCAAGTAACAGATTTGAACAAATTATATTTTTAAATTTCAACCAATTTTTAAAAAAATATCAAAAATAAAAATAAGAAATTATATTTTTTTATATATATATATATATATATATATATATAATTAGTATTTTTATATTTTTATACAAGTGTTTCTCATAAGTAGATAAATGTAAACATTTCTACCATTAAAACAACCAAAATGTAGAAGAATGATTGTGAGTTATACCTAAATTTGATGAAGCCAATAAGATCCAAAAAAATAAGGTGTTTTCTTATGTAAACCTATATAATTTGAAAAATAAAGAATCACAAAGTTATTTCTAAAGAAAAGACAAAGTTAAAGAGAAACAAATAGAAGTAATAATATAACATTTTCAAATGTTTAGTTGGATAATAAAAGATAGAAGAAATATATAAAATGATAATTTAGAAGTGAATTGATTCAAAATATGTGGAAATGCAAGATGAGCATTTAGGCCTATATATATAAAAGATAAAACTATATAAACCAAGAAGAAAAAAAAAATATATCTAATATTATAAATTGTGTAATAAGAGATGAAGAAAGTGTAAAGAATCACAAATATGGAAAAAATCACAAAATCAAAAATAAGTAAAAACAATTCAAAAAATAAAAAATAAAAAATGATATAGTTTTTCAATATAAATCTTTCAATAACTTGACAAAAAATGTCTTGTAAATGTAAACAAATTCTTACTAGATGCCTACTTTTCCACTTTTCCTTCAAAAATCCTAAAATTTAGATAGATTAGAATAGAGAGCAAAGAAGAACAAATCTACAACAACATTGTAAAGAAAGACACTAATCCAAAAATTTCACAACATTGCGGGAATTTAGACTTAAGGTTTTTGGAAAACCAAATATCACGGATCACTCAAAATATCACCTCCTAAAATATCACCATTCAAACTTTATTATTCCTAATTCAAACTTTATTATCCTTTGGTATGGAATCAAAGATGGAAGAGAGTTAAGGCAAGCAAAGCAATATTTGATATTTCACTAGTCCTTTTGATATTTGGATTTAAAAATCATCCACTTTGCAAGGTAGGTGATTTGATGAAGCATCAAGTGATATTTTGAAATATCATCCAAAAACCTTAAGTCTGAATCTCCTCATTGTATTCAATCAAAACATGGCAACAATGTAGGAAAGCTGAGTGAAGTAAAGGATGAACTTGGAGCAATGAGATTGAAGTGAAGCTGTGTGAAGTGATGAACTTGGAGCAATGAGATTGAAGTGAAGCTGTGTGAAGTGATGAACTTGGAGCAATGAGATTGAAATGAGATTGAAACTTGGAGCAATGAGATTGAAATGAGATTGAAACTTGGAGCAATGAGATTGAAGTGAAAGCTGAGTGAAGTGAAGGAGTGAAGTGAAGGATGAACTACTTATACAAGACAAGACAAAACAAGGTTAACTAGATTGGTGGATAAAAAAGTGATGCAAATAAAAATGTGTGATGCAAGACACTCTTCTTCATACAAAGCAGCCTCCTTTTTCCATCACCTCGTTCTCTTTCTCGCTCCACTTGTTTGGGGGGCTTGCACTTTAATCCTTGCTTGCTTTTGCATTTACTCCACTTGCATTCTCAAACTGGGCATTCATTGCAATCAGGATCCACTCGTTGTTGTTGTCGTTGTTGTTGTCATCCCTTTTTTTCCACCAGTTTTCTAGGCGGCGCGCATCTGTAGACGTGGTGGGATGGTGTCGTGGCTCCGCTGTTTCAATGCCTGATTGATTCACCACTGTGACATGAAGATTCCGCATTTGCCACAGTTTTTGGAATTCAGGGTTGTTTTAGGGTAATTGGGTGGCCGTGGCATCATGATTCAGCGGTACGGGAGAGGGATTGGGGAAGTTTACAAGCTTGCTCGGCTTCACTGCACTAGTCTCCATGCCGTCAGAGAATGCAACATTCTTTTTGTGGGCCGAGGGGAATTGGTAACGCTGGGAGCTGTGTCTCTCATCGCCGAGAATGTTTATGGAACTTGCAATTCGGTTGTGTTTGGTGGGAGTAAGTATGGTAGAGCGCGGCGAAGCGGGCTCTGCCCTGGTTTGCGTCGAGTTTCCAAAAATGCGGTCGTTTCCAATGGTACGTTTCGCTCTCCGAGATGGGTATATGAGGAAACTTCTTAGGATTACGATCATGGGAGTGCTGTCACTCAATTTCTTGGTACTACTACGTGCGTTGCAATTGAATGGTAGAGAATATTGGTGTTCAGTTTTAGTCGACTTGTATTGATCAATGCCTTCCGCCGCAATTGTACTGTGGCAGATCTTGAATTGGGCGCAGCGCAGCGCAAAGAGTTCGCGATCGAGGTAAATGGTAATGTTTTGGTGCCTAGGGGTTTATATACCCAAGTTGGTGGCTCCCTGGACTGCCAGGAGGAACAGGACTTGGATATCGAGACCGAAATAAATTCTTTGGAACTTAATACACAAGAGGTCATCAACGTCGGGTTCAATGAATTCCGTGGCGCGGAATCGCGTTCAGAATTGAGTAGCGTAGCTGTAGAAGAAACGAGAACAGTATCTGGTGGCAGAGATTTTCTGAGTAATGAGCTCTTCTTTAATAGCCAAGCTGCGCCTTCCCATAGACAGACTGGCCTGGATAGTTTTACGGAAACGAGCAATGGTATGGAGACTTTGGCAGTGTGGCCCCAAATGCCAGGCATACCAGAGTGTTCTTGGCGGATTCCAGATTTGATATGCGAAGTGCTGCCCCTCCCCCAGAGCTTCAATCTACAGCTTCAGGTCCGGTTCACCTCTTGATTCCTCGCTTCTTGCATTGGTTGCGTCTCAGTAGGGCATGCAAGAAATGACGGGAAAAAAAAAATCTTTGGCCCATTTTTATCACCCTTACCAATTGTTCAGGTTTTTAGGCCTGTCGCTTTGCTCGTAAAGTTTCTCTCCTATTGCTCTAGCTTCAATTGCAATGTGTAGTGAAGGTTAGTATTAATGTGTAGAAGTTAACGCAGTCATGGCTGTTTTTGCAGATACTAACTGAGAAGCTTGGCTGTAGTATCCATTCCCGGGAGCTTCTCTTGCGAATTTTGGTCCTCATCTACACCATCTCTCTTTGAGTTGTCACTCGTGAGTTACATTCAATGTTGGTTTGACGTCTTTCTATTTTTTTGGCTCGTGTCAACGAGGTCCTGATGGTCAGCCATTTCTCTCTCTAGTATGTTTCAGGTTCATAAGAGCTACTATTTGTCCAAAATGCCACAATCTGTGAAAGAGAAAAAGTTGAGGAAGCCTCTCATGTCATGGCAAAGATCAGGAACCGTGGAAGACAACTTGATGACTTTTGCTGACGCACACGCAGAGGTTGATTAATTACTCATGTTATGTTGTCCTCCCCCTTTGTTGAATCGAAGGCAGAGAACAGTAAACATAGAGCCTTGATTTTGACTTTTTATTTTATTTTAACAACACACCGGTGAAATATTTGTAAAAAGTGTGCACCGTTGGGGTGATTTGTGTTACTCTATCATGAGCCTGTCATTCAAATAGTATCGTCTCAGTCTTTCACGTAATTTCTGCTCCCAGGTCTAATATGGTTCTCGAGTTACCCTGTGATTTTCTCTGATTCTAACCGAGCTGCTGTTTCTTTCCATTGCAGGCTCGATTAAAGCTAGCTTTAATAGGAGACACAGTCTTGAATCTTGTCGCTTCCACCCACCTTATTCGCCAATACCCTTTGCTGTCAACTGTGCGTCGCTTGCTGCATTTTCCTACCTATAGTTTTTCTTTTTCTTTTTCTTTTTCTTTTTTTTTTTTTTTTTTGATGACCTTTTTCTATGCCTGTAGTCTGCGTAGAATGTTTTATGAGAATCCTTTATCTGAAGAGGAGCTTGACATATTGACATGTAACGCAGGGCTCAATAACGGAACGAAGGTCACAGCTGGTATTGGTCAAACCTAACTAGAGCTATCTTAGCACTTGCCTTCATTAAGATGTCGTCGGTAGTTGGCCCTAGCTCGTGAAGGCATAGGTTCGTGATGACCAATTGTTTGCTAGATGCTAAAATAATGAGATTTCGCTTATTTTTTAAACTGTTAATACGGTAACAAAGAGGATTGTTGAGCATTTGAAGTACGTCTGACAGCTGGTTGAAGAACTGGCTATGTGATTGGATGACATTTGTAGGCTGGATTGGGCTTTGCAGGTGTGTAATAGCAACTTGGCTCGCGCTTGGTGCACATTATTGGATCTGCGTGAGCTTGTGTTGTGTGATCCTCTCCTCTCTCGATCTAAAAAAGCTTCAGCAACTGCTCTCTTAGAAAATCAGGTGAGGTTAATTTGCTGAAACTGACATCTAGTTTTGTTTATTGCGTATGAAGGTATGGCTTAATCTACCTGTCTTATTTTCGTGTATGAATCATAACCAAAAGACTGGTTCTGCGTGCGTATCACCACAGATGAAAGCTTGTGCAGACACTCTGGAAGCTTACATTGGAGGTCTCTACGTAGAAAAGGTAACACTCTTGTGGACGGGACATGAGCAACTTAATCTTCCTGTCTTGTTTCTATGTGGTTAATGCAATATCTGTGAGATTGATTCATTCTTATGCTTTCATCTGGTAGGGACTGGAAAGTACCTTACAGTTTGTCGAGACTCGTTTGTTACCCCTCCTACTCCTCGCTAAGCCAACGAGGAACCCAGTGACCATTCTGCACGATCGATGTGCAATGGTATTGCAGGAGAAGCCAGATTACAAGTGAGTGTTTCCCACAACCTGCCCTTCAAGTAAACGATAGCTGTATTATCCTCCAGCAGTTCCACTAAAATCCTGTGAATAACCCTGAAACTTTACACTAAATTATGTTATGTCCTGAAAGTCTAGTCACTTGTGCTTAGCTCTGAGGTGGTGAATTCCATGCAGGTTGATCGGAGTTGACAATCAGAACACCCCAAATGAATCCTGCAGAATTAGAGTGTATGTGAAAGGGTTCCGCTTGTCCACTGGGATTGGGAAATCACAGAGACTCGCTAGACAAGATGCTGCAGAGAAAGCCCTCCTCAAGTGGCCAGAGATCTTTGGGTCATCATAATTTTGGTTTTTCTGATGGCACGCAAATGTTTCTGTAACCTCTTGTCCTGATTATTTTAAAAAGATTGGCATGTTTCACTAATTCTCACGAACCAGAAAAAGGGGTCGCCTGCTACCTCAGGCATAATGATATCGTATTTTATTCAAGCCACGGTCTAGTTTTCATGTATTCATAGACTATTACAAGTAAATTTAACACAGGAAGTTTTATGTACATATTTCTGAGGGTGAAGATGGATTAGCAGTGATGAGATGAAATTTTTATGGATTCAAATACTTGTGAAATCGGATCAATAAAAAAACAAACCAGCATTTTAAAATTTTGAATATTAACTAAGGTTCAAGCTTGTTCTAAATTCGGTAAGAGTTTATTTATTTATTTATTTATTTCTCTGAAATGGAACTTATTGATTTAAAACTATTGTTGTACATCATGATGCATTAATCATTTGTTTGATGAATGTTAGTATTTATTTTAAATTGAAAACACCAACATAAATTTTGAAAGTCAACTTTAAAAAAAATTACAAGTAGATATTTTTAGATAATAGCAATAAAAAAAATAAAAAAATAAAAATTAAACATCTTTCATAACTTAAATGATACTAAATTGTGCAAAATAAAAATTTATAGTACCTATTAATATTGCTACTTTTTTGACATAAAACAATTTATTGTTCTTATTTTTTTTGGATATGTCTTACTAACAACCTAACTAAAGAAAAAAGTTAAGAATCTTTATAATATTTTTATAATGAATAGAAAATCACAATCTAATTACAATAACATGACTTAATATAACTCTATAATGCAAAATTTGTAAAACATTACAATTCTCAAAATATATGAATTTGAGTATAGATAACACTCATTATTTTTAGATAGTAGTCTAAGTGCCTTGTATTCTAATTTTAATTTGATTTGATTTTCTTTATTTTTTTAATTTGACAAATTTGATACTTTTACTTTTTGAGAAAATTGGTTTCTACATTAACATAGAGAATTGACAAAGCAACCCAAATTTTTATTAAATCAACCATATGCCCCATTCTCAACCGTTTTCCTATTTCATACCATCACCTCCATTTCCATCCTCCTGCCCCCATTTCCAGCAACTGTTGGGAATAGGAAATAGCTGGGAATAGGGATGGGAGCTCCAGGGGTGCAATAATGCTTAAGATGAAGTGGGTTGCATTAGTAAAAATTTGGGTCGCTTTATTATTCTCCTTAATATATTGAAGTAAAATAAAATAAAATAAATTAATTTTGTGATCATGATTTGAAATTTTTAATATTATATATATATATATATATATATATATATGTGTGTGTGTGTGTGTGTGTGTGTATATATATTTGTCAAATGACTATTTTTTTTTAATCATTTGGAATTATTATTGGTCTTGTGAATTTAAAATTTTGATTAGGTATTCAATTTAATAAATTTAATTTTTCTAAAGTTACTTTTTGATATTATAATAAGTCACAATACATATAATATACCATGAACTTTATTTTATTTATTCTAATTCTTTTAAACAATTTACTAGTCTAGTTTGTTTTTGTTAAATATCCTTATTGATTTTGATTTGTAAACTTTAAGAATAGATAATCTATAGAATAAAAACGATTTTGTTTATTAATGCTCTTTATGGAAAATTAGACAATTATTATGTATTTGTTGTTACTATGTGTTTTGGATTTTTTGTAAGAAAAGCAATTTGTTACTCTGCAATAAAAAAAATTAAGACAAAAAAATAAATCAATCTACTGTGAGATGAGAGAGAGAGAATATATATACAGAGAGATATTTCCATCTACTGTGAGAGACAGAATATATATATATATATATATATATATATACGTACATATATCTATACACACATCAATGTTAACAACTCAGAAGGGAACGACGATCCCAATCTAAAAACTAGGTCCATAGTATTCATTAGTTCCCATCTGAGTCCAGACATTCTGTTTTCGGGTACTGTAAGGGATTAGAGAATTGGCAATAGAATGTTAAATAATGTGTGGTATTTCGGAACATTACGTCCAGATTCCAATCCGACGATCCACAGAAATAGCAATCTACCAAAAGCTTAGACTACAAATGTCTCAGCTACAAATTTCTCTGCAGATCATCAGCCAGGTTTTATAGCACATGTCCGCTTACCAAATGGTGTAATACATAAACTAGTTTGAGAAGCAGCATGTACCACAAGTGTTAGCTAATGTCCGTGGATCCTCTGTTGAAGATAAACTGATTGCAATGTCTGGGACGAGACGAAAGTAAGCAATGTAAATGGTCAATAAGATGACGAAAGTACTGAATCTCTTATGCTAATTGAGCGTGTGTGAATACATTGGGCAGTCATAAACCGCCGAGGTCAAACGGATGTTACAAATTACCAATCACATTAAAACTGCAAAAATGAGTAAAAACCAATCTAACTGTATGTGCAGTTATCAGACACTGGATAGCAGCTTCATTACTAGACGACTTGGCGTCTCGTACCTAACTGTGTCTTAACAAATTCAGGTATCGTCAGATACAGGAGCCGTCTCGAGTTCTACAGTGGTTGTGCTTTCTGAACTGGGCTTTCCATTATCTTGCTCTTTAGATTTGGATTTCTCAGTACTTTTCTCAGGCTGTAGCTTGGCAACAGCAGTTTTATTTGGTCCCAGCAACATTATCATTTGTCTTCCTTCGATTGCCATTTTGCTCTCAACAACTCCCAACTGTACAATACCAAATCGTTCCCACAATATGTCAATTATTGAACAGTATATATGTGTTAATGTCTTACAGCGTACAGGAGATGAAGGATTACACAGTAACAGCGGAAGTGCGCATCACATGAGAAGGGCTCTTTTACATGTACCTCTCCGATATCATCTATAAACTTTTGAAATAACTTAAAAGCCAAATCCTTGAAATCCATCTCTCGTCCTTTGAACTGACAGACCACTTTCACCTGTAGAGCAATTAAACCAGTTTCAGACCCACATTTCACCAGTAAGTTTTTGACATTCTTGTAACCCTACTCATATATAACTTTCCAAACAATGCAGAACCTATATAGTATCACATGGCAGATGCTTACTTTATCACCATCCTTCAAGAATTTCATTGCAGATCGCAGACGCACTTGGTAATCATGAGTATCAATGTTATATCTGGACAGCACAGGTACTAAGTTACGCTTATTATATAGTATACGAGTAACTAGTATTCATGATAGTTGCAATATGAGAAGGGCGAAAAAGCTATAATCATGATGCTCTAACTTTGCACATCAGATAAAACAACGGGTAACCCAAAAACTTCACTGATGATTTGAGAGATTGAAATTAGATGGTTGCTAGATCATAAGCAAATACCTCATTTTCAACTCTTTAAGATCCTGCCGACTTGCTGTAGACCACAGAGCAATAACAGAAACATAACCATGAGAATGCAATGGTATAATATCTCCTTGTGCACACAAAATGAGTATACCCCAAGCTTAATAAAATTAAGGAAAATCCTCGATGACCACAGATGCTTTTCTAACAACGCTATCGCTATGTTCCAGAGTCGTGGGATTTATGCTTCCAAAAGCAAATATCAAAGCATGCAAGTAGCTTCTGCACAAAGATTCTGATCTATCGAAACCCTCTACTCAACATGACCAAACTTTATATCACGACATCACCTGTCACTTCAAAGATCAAGCGACCGGATAGCACAATCTCCATATTCGAAAGAAAAAGTAAATTGAAAAACTAAATGTGGGCGTTTAAGAGCATACATGAAACCCCAAGATAATCACAAGAAAAATTGACCCATTGGCAATTAACAATGACAGCAAGGAGAAATTACCAATAGCCTTCTTCTGAGCTTCTCTTTTCTTCTTCTGAGCTTCATACCTGTACTTACTGTATAAAGATAAAACAATCTCTTTAGTAAGCACGCAACAAAATGTTTCGACAACCCATTTTAACAAAGAGATTGCATCAGTCTGATAATCTTGCAAACTTACCTGTAATCCATTATTCTGCACACAGGGGGGTCTGCATCTGGAGCTATCATTACCTGCAAGAGTGTGAGACAACGTTTAGCTTCAACTTCCTCTGGTCTCAAAACCTCAAAACCTAGACTACTGTATTAGGGCAAACAAAATTGTGGTAGGTCATGAATCCACGCAGACGCTAAATTAAGAGCGTCCAAAAAGGGACTCAGAAAACAAGTCCCCAAAGCAATTAACTGTTTTACCATGACCCTAAAAGTGCATTCCAAAATGCATCGAAAAATCCAATTGACATTCATATTTCCGCCCAACTCCAGGTTCACTTCACTTCCTAAAGGTTAACCCAAGAACGATTTAAACCCCAACAAGAGAAAAGCTCTTACAAGATCTAAATCAGCATCTCTTGCCCGTAGCTGTGCTTCGGCTGTTGGAACCACTCCAACCTGTAGCAAAGAATATATGTGAGTATTTTTCTATGCTAAACAGTCGTAACAAAGACCAAAACTGTAAGGGTTCATCCGCCTTCGAATTAACACCCCCATTGATATCTACGAGCGACACTATTCGCAGCTCAATCTCGATAAAACCTTCGAGAACAAATGGCTGGAAATTTAGACAATTTCACGTACCATGTTCTGTTCTTCGTCGAGGAGCCTAACAGAGGGAACTCTGCATTGTAATCCATCCTAATTGTGAGAAGTAGGATCGGAATTGACTGCAAATGTCCCCCTCGTTGCACACCAAACCAAAAGAAACTTGCACACAGCTGCCACTCACAAGCAACCAAGCGTGCACGGCAACCAAAAACCCACCTGATGTCGCCATTAAGCAGCGGTCCACCCTCATCCTGAGGCTCCTTCGCTCCGGAACGCCTGTTCGGTTGCGGGCGCGGCCGTCTGGCCCCCGCAGCAGGACGAGACCCACCGGCTCTACCAACAACCACGAGCCTACCTCGACTACAAGCGCCATTCCCAATAATCAACCCACCAGGATTCAACCTCTCACTCACATCTCCGGCGTTGCCACTCAAGCATCCTCCGCAGTAGGAAACACTTGTCCGTCCAGAGTCATCTCGAATGGCGCCGGCGCTGTGTGAGGAGAGCGACGCTGGAGGTGCGAGAAAGAGCCCTGACCTCAGAACTGCCATATCTTTTCAGAGGTTTTGGTTTTGATGATTCCTCCCTCGGCAATAGAGGCACGATGGCGAGTAACAGTTTCAAGGCAGAGTTGTGATCGTGGTAGTAGTAGTAGTAGCCATAAGGCGTCGGTAGAGCCTGGTTTTGGTTTGGACCCAATTGCGTTTACGTAGCGCAGAGACTTGTGGCGCCTAAGAGCGTCGCCCTCTGCGGCGAGCGAGCAATAGTAGCAGGAAGCAATAAAAAGCAAACTCCCTCCCATCGGGATAAGGTTTCAGGAAGGAAAGTAAAAGGAAAGGGAAGAGCCGCCATGGCTCACTCTCTCTCACTCTTGCATTCACCTCCCTCTTCTTCGCCTTGCCTTGCCTTCCACGGGTTTGGGTGATCCCTCCTTTTCGCCCTCCATTGTCTTCCACGGGCTTGGGTGCTACCCTCCCCAACCACTCCTCTTTCGTCTTCCCTTTCACACATGCGTTTTCTCAAGCTCCCGGTTGACGTGGCTTGCCAACGTGGCCGCCACGACAAGTGACTGGATTTGCGTCCCTTCGCTCCGCTCACTCCGAGTTAGGCCAGCGTGGATGGGTCCCGCTCTCTCTCCCTCCTTCCGGCCCTGGCTTGGCTGGGTTTGAGACTCCCTTTCCGATGGGTGTGACGTGGCGGACGAACTTCTGTGTGGGTGTCCTCCCAGGACTCTCGTATTCTTGGTGTTTTATGTATTTCACATAGATTTATTTTTTGTAGATTTATTATTAAAATCTTGCAAAACAATAAAATTATATCATGAACAATGCTTTTTTGTTTACTTTTAAAACCTTTTGTACTATAGAATATTTTTCTAAAATTACATATTCAAAAAATCTAAAATATCTTTGGATGTATTTTGTAAGTGCTTATTTAACAAGTGTCATGGACATACATATTTACATAGATTAAAGGAATTAGATAGAATTAAATAGAAGTAAATAAAATTGATAAAATCTTGTGGAAAAACTTTTTAGAATCTTTATAGATGCAAATTCAACTTTTTACATAATTATAGGTGATTGGTAGGTTAAAAACTTGGCCAACAAGTTAGCCAAGTATTGCACATGTTGATGACTTATGGTACAAGTTAGCTATGTGGCACACATTTAGGAAACTTATCTTGCAAGTTAGACATGTGTTTTGCAAGATAAGCATATATCAAAGGTCATGTAGAATGTTGCCCCATAGATCCTAGTTAGTATATATGGAGGCAAGAGTGAGGTCTTTTTCACTCTTGCCAATGCTTTATATTTAACAATAGTTATTATAGTCTTAATATTATACTATTTTTGAGTTATTATCTACTCTTTTATAGTAACACAAGAATATATTGATTCTTTGTTCTTTGTGATTCATGTCTTTGAATGATTTTCTTTTTATAACATAAAAATAAATTTTTTATATAGAAAAAAAGTAAAAAATAAAAAATATTAATTAATAAAAATATTTTTTAAAAAATATTTTATTTATTTAATTTTTTAAATAATAAAAAAATCTATATAAAAAAAAATTTAAAAACAAAAACTTTAGGTTGATTGCCATACTTACAACATCTATCAAAACAAATGTGGCATAGCACTCTTTAAACTTTTGTAGAATTTAGCGCTTAAAGAAATTTTTATTCTAGAATTTATATATCAACATGTTTTGAAATTTTTAATTCTAAGAAAATCATATAATGCTCATCAATAGATAATTTAGTCAATATGAACAAAGATTTATCTAAATTTTAAATTTTAAAAATCAAAATTAAATATCTCACATAGAGTATATTTATGGTGTATTTAAATTTGGAAAAAATACTCAATAATACATATTTGAGTAAATATTTTTGATGTTTATTATTATAAGAAATTTTTTTTATAATAACATGTGTGTAACTTCTTTACATCAAATTTAAAATCAAATTAATAATAATATTTTAAAACTTCTAGAATATTTTTTAACTTATTTATATTTATTTCAAAAATCATTAAAACTTCATAGTAAGTTTTTATATGAAGTTCTTTTCCAAATCTTAGATAATAAGTTTTAAGCTTATAAATACAAAAATGCATACAAGATTGAATATATTTTTGTATTTATATTATTTTAAAATTTTATATTTTATATATATATATATATATATATATATATATTACAATTCAATTTTAACCTACTCAATATTTGTATATGGTCTTGTAAGCACATATTTAAATATATAATATATTTGAATTTAAAAGATGAATAGATAATATGATTCATAATATAAAATAAATAAAAATAATATATTTAATTTATTTTAATTAAGAAAATTTTCTCTCTACCTTCTTGGTGGCATCTTGGAATAGGTTGATTTTCAATAATTCTCAAATATCTTTCAAAAATTTCATTTAACAAAAATCTACTCAAATCTAGATATCATAAATCTTTCAATATTATTACATAAAAAAACTTATAAGTATATATAAAAAATTATTAAAATAATCCATTCATTTATTAAATCAACTTATCTTATTGTAACCATCATTAAAAAAAATGGATCATCTCCAAAAACCATTATTATAATTATAGCCATCATTTCAACGCCCTTTATTCTGAACTTTTGTTTTTTTCATTGCTAGTTTTTTTTATTCTAAAATCCATCCCCCTACTTCCTTCCATTCTTAACTCTCATGCTAATCCCTTTCATTTATTTCATTTCCAATTGTATGAACCTTAGTCAAAAGTTCTTCATGAAACTTATTTATTCTATATAAGCTCTCAGTGAAGTCTTTACAATGTACATTCAAATTTGTTGGATCCAAAAGCACATATAATATCATTGGCGTGCATGTCTGAGTGACAACCATGATAAGGCTTTTCTCCTTAAATCAAGAGTAGCAAGATCGAAGAATTAGTAGCTCATCGAATTTGTAAAGAATCTTAGAAGGACAATTGTAAGGTGTTCTAAGAAAGCATTCCTCATTTCCAAAGGGAACATAGAATTATGGAAGAGGTCTTAATTGTAAGATGTAGACTTGATTCTTTATGTGAAGCTTTTACGAGGTTTTTAAGTCTTAAAGAGTTTTTGTGAAACTTGGAAGGAGCATTTAAAGTTCTTGGGGTGGTAAGATGGAACTAAGATCCTAGTTGAATTGTAGTGTTAGATTGCATAGGTAGAATTTTTATTTTTATTTAGTAGCAATAGAAAATGTAAACTTAAACTATAGACAACTCTCATATTGAATTGATCTCATAATATTTTGAGTTTATTAAACTCAAGAAGGATTATAATGCTAAGATTGAGTTGTAGTCAATTATACATTGATAAGATGAAAAAAGATACTTATCCAAAATTCAAGCTTTAGAGGACTCACAACATACATCAAACTTGCATCCACATTGCTATTTATCAAGATGTGACAACCTACAAACTAAACATACAACCAAATTGACAACTTCACAAATATGACTTTGTAGAGTTATGTTTAAAGATATTAATTCAAGACAAATACATAACAAAATCAACAAAGAGTCCAATCCAAATCACTCTCATGAACACCATAAGAAGATATCAAATCAAAAGAATTTCACTCAAAAATTCCACATGACATGTAAGAATCATATTCACATATAAAATCAAACACAATGCAACAATTAGACTTATCTTGTCACAATACACCTTCTAAATAAAAGATGCTTATATAATATATAAATAACTACTTCCAAATACAAAGATAATCCCAATTCCAAAGTAACTACATTTAACCAAAAAAGTCCATATAAATCATGATAAAAAATTGAAGTCTCTATTCATGGCAAAAAAAAAAAAATACTAATAAAAGAAAAGAAAAGAAAAAAAGAAGTCAAATTGAACCACATAATAATAATTGATACAACAAAAAGAATGTTAATTAAATTAGCAGCTTCTTTAGAAAAATGAAGGGATAGGAGAGTGACAACAATATAGCACTAGGCATGACAAGTAAGCTAAGTACAAAAGAGGTAGATGTACAGCTCTCAAAATATTGTTGAGAAGAACTCTAGATTGAGACTTACACAATTGGAAAGGAAAAGAATGAAGAGAGTGCAGATGAAAGCTGAAAACATGGAAAGGGAGAGGGGGAGGGGGGATTTTTTGGAATAAAGAAGGCTTGGGAGAAGGAAAGTAGTGATGAAGGCCATGATTGTAATGATGGCTTTTGGAGGTGATCCATTTTTCTAATGATGGTTACAATACAATGAATCAATTTAGTAAATGAGTGAATTATTTTAACATTTTTCTATACATATATGTATATATATATCAACAACATCCAACGAATTCAAGAATTTCATTCTTAAAACTTTACAAGATGGAGAGGCGACAAGTTTCTAATGATGTTTTTGAACAACCCTAAAAATAAAATAAGTTGAGAAGAAAAAGAAGAAGAATTTGACAACGATTGAACTGAAAATTTCTAGAAAAATGAGTCACAACACAAAGAAGCACAGAAAACATGGAGAAATCGGCAAAACACCAACTCAGAAAACCGAAGTGAAAGGAGACACCACACAAAGAAGCACAGAAAACATGGAGAAATCGGCAAAACACCAACTCAGAAAACCGAAGTGAAAGGAGACACCACACAAAGAAGCACAGAAAACATGGAGAAATCGGCAAAACACCAACTCAGAAAACCGAAGTGAAAGGAGACACCACACAAAGAAGCACAGAAAACATGGAGAAATCGGCAAAACACCAACTCAGAAAACCGAAGTGAAAGGAGACACCACACAAAGAAGCACAGAAAACATGGAGAAATCGGCAAAACACCAACTCAGAAAACCGAAGTGAAAGGAGAGATTGAAAAAAGTGAAAGAAGGGGGGTTAGAGAAAGGAAGCATAGATAGACAGATAGATGGGGAGTGGGAAAGGAAGGAAGGAAAGGAAGGATTGAAGGAAGGCACCATTCCATCTGGATAACCCCCATTTAGATAACGATCTCCATTCTGCCATTCGTTGCCCTCCGCGGCACCCACCCCCCCCCCCACCACCACCGCCACGGCTACCCCCTATCACCAACCCCACGGCCCTTATGGCCGCATCGCATCGCATCACTCCGCTACACCGCAATCAATCACTGAGTGGGTGTGTGTGTGTTCTGGTGCTCTCGCTCGCTCTTTCTCTCGCCTGCAATTTCGCTGGCTTCATGTAGCCTCCCACGTTGCCCACGCTGCGTGTATTGGGTACACAGACTTCCTTTGATCCACTTTGGTCGCGTCACTCCTGCTTCTGCAGCCCAGCCTCTGCAGCTGAGAGGACGTGGGCTGTGGGATATGTGATTTGGGTGGAGCAGGTTCGAGGGGATGGTGCCAATAAGCGTCTCGTAGCTCGCACGGGAAGGTTTCGGAAGTGGATTTGGAATTCCGAATTCGGGACTCTGTAGTTTCTTATTTTTTTTAAAAAAGAGAAAAAGGTATTGGAGGAGTGCATTGTTTGGGTTGATTGAGCTTCTCGGTGTCTCGCGTGTAGAGATTTGGGTTTACACTTCACGGTAGTGGAGTTGTGTGGTAGAGCTTTTTGTTCCCTCTGTTGTGCATTTTCTTCTTCGTTAGAATGATTGCGAATGTGGTGTGATGTGCTGGTCGTGATCGAGTGTAGTTACGGCAACTGTTGACGCCGTTCGTTACGCAGGCAGCAGCTCGTGTTCAAGTAATGGAAGCCACGATGGTCATCTCACACGGGTCTGCGGTGCAGTTGAGTCTTGCTTTCAAGGGCTGCTCTACTGGCAATAACAATTCCAGCCCAACAAATTATTCGTCGACACGACTTTGTAACATCAGTGTTAGAGCTCTACAAAATAAGCCAATTCTCCGCAATGCCACGGTTGGACTCAGTTCCACCAACTCACCTGGAGGTTTATTTATGACAGTTGATTACAAGAGCCTTCGGGGATGCCCGATGAGGCGCCAGAGAACTGGAATTGAAGTTAGGGCAAGTGTTGCAACTGAACAACTTACCGGATCGGAAGATGGTGACAGTGGTAATACAGAGCGGGGCGGGACTGAGACGGGAGTGGTGATCGTGGGAGCTGGGTTGGCGGGTTTAGCAGCAGCAAGACAATGTGCACAGGACGGGATTCCGTTTCTGCTGGTGGAAGGTTCGGACGGAGTAGGGGGCCGAGTGCGGACGGATTCATACCAGGGGTTTTTGCTGGACAGAGGGTTTCAAATTTTTATCACCGCTTACCCGGAAGCACAGAAGGTACTCGACTATGAAGCTCTAAACTTACAAACATTTTATGCGGGAGCTCTGGTATGGTTCAACGGCGCATTCCATCGAGTTGCTGATCCTATCCGTCACTTTACAGACGGTTTGGGTTCCTTGTTTAACCCTATTGGATCAGCGATAGATAAGGTGATAGTGGGGATTGTTAGGATAAGAGCAGCTGTTAAACCAGTTGACGAAATTCTGTCTTCCGAGGAGACGACAATCCTGAGCAGGCTCAAATCAGAGGGGTTCTCTGAGGCGATGGTTGATCGGTTCTTCCGCCCCTTTTTTGGCGGGATTTTCTTCGACAGGGAACTGCAGACCACGTCCAGGCTATTTGAGTTTGTCTTCAAGTGCTTGGCATTAGGATCAAACACTCTTCCAGCAGCTGGCATTGGCGCAATTCCTCAACAAATGGCAGACAAACTTCCCCAGGGTTCAGTTCTGCTAAATTCACGTGTTGCCAAGTTGGAGAAAGATGACAAAGGAGTCACCTCAGGAGTGGTGCTGGAAAACGGACGAGGGATCAGCGCTAAATACGGTGTGGTCGTTGCTACTGAGGGGCCAGAGGCAGCTCGGTTGTTGGGAGAGAAGCTTCCAACCACTCCTTCTGTGGAGAAACCACCCCGCAGCACGACTTGCTTGTACTTCTCTGCAGATTCTTCACCTGTTAACGAGCCCATCCTGCTTCTCAACGGGACAAAGAATGGGATCATAAATAACATGTTTTTTCCCACAACCGTGGCACCATCGTATGCTCCTGCAGGCAAGACCCTCGTCTCGGTTTCTCTTTTGGGCCTTCATGAAAACACTTCCGACTCAGAATTGGAAGGCACTGTGCGGGCCGAGCTTCGCTCGTGGTTCGGACCCCAATTAGTCGATTCATGGCAGCACCTTAGGACATACCGCATTTCCCTAGCTCAACCTTATCAGGCCCCGCCAACAATGTTGCTTAAGAACCCAAGGGTTGAGCAAGGCCTGTATGTTTGCGGGGATCATCGTTATTCTTCAACCTTCGACGCTGCACTGGTATCAGGAAGACGTGCAGTGGAAGAGTTGTTGGCAGATTGTAAGATGACGTCGTCCAAATGAGAGGCGTAGAGTGTGCAACTCCATGTACTTTTACGGTTATTTTTGGTATAATAATGAGAAAATGTATCCATTCATGCGCTGTAACCTTCCCCCTCCTGTACATAAATCTGTACGAATTGTCAACCAACATTGGACCGTTTATGACTTTGGTGCTTACAAACAAGGAAGCAAACCGAACTGAAGAGGAACCTAACTGTGTTTGGATTCAACTAATGTTACGAGGACGTCGCTTAACCACACAGACCTCACTCATTGCACTAAACCTTAGCTATCTGGAACTAACAAAATTAAGAGATTAAACCCAAGAATTCCACACAACAAAGGATTGCAAAAATATTCAAGTCAAACGAAGCCTGTTGTGCACCACTGTTTACCCCAGTGGTTGCACTCATTTTCATCATCCCCTAACTTGACACGTCAATTACATGTCTTTTTTCAGCGCTTACTATACCGCACACCCAGGGCGAGCACCACAAGGTTTTCATCATCCGCAACCGCCTCAAAAATAATACGCTACATAAACTCGAGCTCATCATAGACCAAACACTAACCAGCTGATCATGAGATTGCTTCAAGGAACATTCCTCCAATAGGTAGATCCCAAGTGACCATAGAATTGTGCTGGGAAACGAGTTTAAATTTCTAAATTGGATTGCCGTAAACCAATCTGATATCACACTTGTCTTCAGATGAATGTCGTTCAAATTAGCTTTGCAACCATGGTCCTTAAAAACCAGAAGGTTGGAGCACACTTGCTGGAAGTGCTCATGCAACCCTAAAACGTCTCCAGGACTCCTTTTCAAATTCCTGACCTGCAAGAGACACGCTTGAACATGGATGTCCATTATCCATCTCAGGATTTAAAGGCCCAGATCTGGCAACCTAGGTGTTGGCATCCAGCGAATCAACCACCCGTGTCTTAATGATGCTTAAGGCAAATGAAACGAGAAATTATGACCCGGTCACATTCTGCTTGATTTTAGAAGCTTGTGCCCTCGGGACTGTAGATTCAGGAATCGGTGGCTGAGTGGCATTTTCTGGCACAACTAAGGGTAAAGTCATTTTCCGAGACAGCTTTAGATTGCCACGCAGGTCACGACCAATACAGACAACGGACAACTCTTGTCCAATGGAAAGATAGTCTGATACGCGTTCAATGCGCTCATGTGCGATTTCTGAGATATGAAGCAAACCCTGATAACCTCCATTAAGTTCCATGAAAGCCCCAAAGTCCTTGATTGCCACCACTCTAGCTGAATAGGTGCCCCCCACCTCCACTTCCTTCCCTACTGATGCTTCAACCATCTGCTTTGCCAGATCAAACGAGGCCTGATCTCTTGCAAAAATCGTCACAACTCCATCTCCCGATATGTTTATACGTGCGTCAGAAACTTTCTGTTCCAGACAAGAGAATCACATCAAAAACAAAAACTCGTGCCAAAATCAATTACCACTAAAATGTAATTAATTACCACAATTCTCATCTAAAATGTGCGATTTGTAAGAAATTACCCAAATCTCCTGCGACCGGTATTAGAAATACAGCAGGCTTTGAACATCAAAAACATTAATAACCTGATCAAAAACTTTGACGCAGCTTTCGTTCTTTCAAATACCACACAAAGGGTAAATTTCAAACCAATGCCATCATGCATGAAATTTAGAGAACAGAAAAAGGAGAAAACAGGAACCGTCTGTGGAGAATGGGTGTGAAAATATCCAACAACTTGCACTGTGAAGTGAGTATCCTTTGGTACCTGAATATTCTTGATGTTTGAACCCTGAGGTCCTATCAAGCGCCCGATACTGTCCTGTTGTATGTTCATTGTTCCACTGCGCGGCAAATTCTCTCGGGCAGTAGAATCCCGAGGGCTACTAATGACCTGTTCCATGAAATCCAAGATCTGTGTTCGACCGACTAATGCAGGCTCCAGCGCCTCACATAGGATGTGCAGTGGAATGCCCGCAGGTTTGATATCAAGCTGAATGGCTGTGATACCTTTCTTAGTACCAGCAATTTTGAAATCCATATCACCAAGGTGATCTTCTAACCCTAAAATATCGGTGAGAATTCGATACTCCGTTACGCGCCCAGTTTCAGGATCACTGACGCTCACCAGGCCAACTGAGACAGCACCCACATGTGAGCGCAATGGAATACCTGCATCCATCAATGCCAGACTTCCACCACAGACCGTGGCCATGGAAGATGACCCATCCGATGCCAGACACTCAGAAGTGACACGAACACTGTATGGGAAGTCTTCCTCTGGTGGCAGCAACGCAACCAATGCTTTCTCTGCTAGTGTACCATGGCCAACTTCTCGTCGGTTTAGGCCTCCTGTACGCCCGACCTCGTTAATAGAAAAGGGAGGAAAACTATAATGGACCATGAATCGTTTTCGATCAATTCCGACAAGAGAATCTAAACGTTGGGCATCGTCAGGAGCACCTATGGTGACTGTGCACAGAACCTGTGTGTTGCCTCTAGAGAATACGGAGGATCCATGAAGGGCCGGATACGTTCCAGCCTCGCACTGCAATTCGCGCACTTGGTTAAGACCCCGCCCATCCACTCTCATACCTTTCTCAAAGATGTTCCGCCGCAGCACCTCTTTCTTCACTGCATCAAATGCATACGGCAAAAGCTTTACAGATACCTCGTCACCTTCGGAGATCAATCTGTTCTTCACCTCCTCTTCTATCGCTCCCAAAGTTTGTCCGCGCTCAAATTTGCCAAATTGAGGATTGCCCATCACAGCCTCAATAGCAATCTTTGCAAGAGATCTGACCTTTTCTAATACTTCAGGTGGAACAGTGAGTACTGGCAGAGGCCGCTTCAGCACAGCTACTTTAGCAGCCAACTCTAATTGCGGTGGGATCAACTTAGTAGCCTCGGCATGAGCCAAATGCAGAGCGGCTACATAATCCTGGTTTGTAATCTCACGAGCCTGCGTCTCAATCATCACAGTTTTCTCTGCTGTGCATGCATATACCAGATTCAAGTCACTCAAACTAAATTCATCCATGTTCGGATTGACGATGAATTTTCCCTTCACTCTACCAATTCGCACACAACCGATTGGACCTTTCCAAGGAATGTCTGAGATCACTAGAGCTGCTGAGGCTGCATTGACAGCAAGGACATCAGGGTCCTGGTCACCATCCGAACATAGCACATTTGCTATGATCTGAGAATCATAGAAAAAACCCTTAGGGAAAAGTGGACGAACCGACCTGTCTATGAGACGACCACACAGAAGCTCTCTTTCTTTGGGCGCACCTTCACGCCTCATAAAGGTGGCCGGAATTTTTCCCTGAGCATATTGCTTCTCACGGTATTCTACTTGCAAGGGCAGAAAGTCCTTGCCTCCATCAAACTTGTAATCGGCCACCACTGTAACCAAAACTTTCGTCTCACCAACTCCAACCACAACAGCCCCTGACGCAAATCGGGCCAGCTTCCCTGTCTCAAAGCTCATCTTCATATTTCCCACTTCCGCCTCTTCTTGAAAAACATGGCCACTGGCAGGGAACGTTCGCCACGCTGCAGGTACCTCCGGAACAGTTACTAGGACAGGTTCGCTAATCGTGGAAAAGTTCGAGACATTCCTTCCAAAACCCCGGGGTTTTAGTGTACCTTCATCCAGGATTTTGCTAGAGGAATAAACACTTCGCAACGCCGGCGATGGCACATACCTCCGACGCCTAGCGGCAGCATCCACGGCCCTTAATAGTGAACTAACCCCACGACTCCGAAGCACCATGATTCCCTGGTGGAAATGCACTCGCAGACCGTACCCGCTAAACTAGCCCAAGAATCGATCTTAATAACCCGCAAATACTTCAAAATAATGTAATCGAGCAATACAGAAACAGTGACTGATAATGAAGCCACAACCGCAACGCTCTAAAACTCAATCTAAAGAAGAGAATGCGTGCACGAGAAATCAGAAATGGAAACCCTAGACGAAGTATGCATTAAGAAACTTGCAAAAACCCCAAATTCTCAATCTCCTATAAGTTGTACACTTATTAGGTTAAAGCTCCAAAATTCACGTACGCGGAGATACAAACCACTCAGCAATCTGGAAACCTGAAAGCCAATGAAGCGAAAATGACGACGTATTGAAGAATTCGTAAACCTCAACTCCTGAAGCTCAAACTCATACCCAGAGTCTCCCGATCCACCGCTCTCTTCTTCACCGCCATACCACGAGATTAAAAAAAAAAAAAATGTGAAAAATCTCCCGATGCACTCCGCTGTGGCAATGAATCTGTCGCACCCTGCCAGTGATGAATCGAAGCAAACTGGTGGACGTAGCATCTGTCTCAGCGGTGGAGACAGGGTGAGGAGGACGGTCGTCGTTCTCATTCTCGAATTCTCTTTCCCTTAAACCCTTGGCTGCCGCGCCACTGCCGCCGGATGCCGCGTCTTGCCGCGCACGGCCACCATGACTACCCCCAGCGTCCCATGTCGCGGTAATTAGGGTTGGATAACGGTGTTGGCGCACACAAAATTTGATAAAAACTGTGTGTTTGTGTGTGAATTTTTTGAATTTAGTTAACATCATAAAAATTATCTGATTCCATGTATGAGTGCATATGTGTGTGGATATGTTGGTTAAAATGAAACTTTATTTTTTATCAAACATTTTATGGGCTTTACCTGTGTAACTCAATTTTACAATTTCAGCATAATCCGTGAATAAAATCATTGAACTTCAATTTAAGGAACCCTCATCGGTTCACAATGTTTTTATTAAAAATTTTGGAGGTCAATAGTTTATATATATATATATATATATATATATATATAGTATGTATTTTAAATTGAAAAAAATAGAAAACTATTCATTTTTGTAGTTAGTATTTCTATTCTATTTGAATATAACCTGATTTATGAGTTTAAACATTAAAAAAATAAAAAATACTCATTTAAATACTTAAGTCCAAATATATCATTTCTTATTTTACAATTTGGTTATAAACTATTATTCAAATGATTCATTAACTTGATTGATTTTTTTGTGATTTAATAATAAGTTATTTGGTATGTATAGCTAATATCTCTCTTTCTATGTATAGAGTATCAAATTTGTATTGATTTCAATATAGATATTTTATTGTAAAAACAACTTTATAATTTAGTTGTATAATTGTTAAAAAAATTAATCATAAAATTTGTTCAAACTAAACAAAAAATCTATATTTAATCTATTTCAGTATTTTAATATGTAAGTACTAAGTTTGCTAAATTTTGGATACTTTTAATGCCATTGCAACTTGCTACCTATGCAACATATTTTTTAAATATTTTTATTGTATTAAAAATTATATTAAACCAAATATTTTATAAGGTATTAAATAAAGATGGAATGTGATGGTTGAGGGGTTATGGTGGTAATAGCAAAACTATAGTTGCATTAGCAATCTCCTAAACTTTAGATATTATAAAAAATCTTTTTTAATACTTTAAATTTTTTGTAAAGATTTCATATATAAATTCAAAAATTAAGGTTTATTTTAAATAAATAAATTAAATATATATATATATATAATTATTTCTTATATTAAGCTAAATAAAATTATTGGATTATTTATTTATTATAATTGCATTAAAATTAATTAATATATTTTTAAGAATTAAAAATTTAATATAAATATAAATAAATTATTTATTTTTATAGAATTTAAAACAATTATTTATATGATGTTAATAGTATAATTTTAAGATATTATTAAATCTATCATTTTATGGAATATAAATCATAATTTAATAAAATCTCAATCATAGTAACTAATGGCTAATACTAAAATAACTAGCGTCAAGTCTTATTGGGTATTTCTGCAAGGTTCCAATTATATTGCCAACTTATCTAATATAATATTGAATAGCTTAGCAAAATTGTCTAAGTAGCTATTAAGTACTTGCAACTAAATTGGATAAATAGGTAGAATTAATTTATCCAAGTATTAATCTAAAAGTACATTTGTATTATTTTAGGTATTTAGATAGTTTTTACATGGTTTGTATATATATATATATATATATATATATATATAATTAAATATTTTTTTTTAATTTTTTAATTTTTAACTTTTTGTTGTACCAACATCTTAGTCTAGTCAACATATTTAATTTTTAATTTTTTGCTATGCCAACATCTTAGTCTTGTCAATATATTTAATTAATAATAATGCTATGGCCTTTATATTTTTTAAATATATATATATATATATTTTATCCTTCATGTCTAAGAGATGAATCACAAAACAATCAAAGTGTCAATATACTCTTGTGTCACTAAAAATGAATAAATTTTCACTCAAAGATAGTTATAATACTAAAATTAGAATGATTATTACCAAAGACAAGAAGATTATAGACTCTTAGAATAAGGCTAAGAACAAGAAAGTTGTTAATAAAAATGAAGAAGGTCTTGCTCTTACTTCCATATATAGTATCTAACTAAGGAGTTACATTGCAAAATTCTATAGATCATCTAACACATGTTTGATTTGTAGGACATATGTCTAACTTGTAAGGCAAGTTTTTAATATGTGCGCCATATGGCCAAGTTGTACTACAAGTGCCCAACATGTGCAATATTAGGTCAATTTATAAAACAAATAATCAACATGTGTAATAAGTATTCACCTTACTAGCCAAGTTTTTAACCTATTAATCAACTATAAATACTTGTAAAATCAAATTGACCTCTATGAAGCTATTAAAAAGCTTTTCCAAAAGAATTTATCAAATTTTTGTACTTTTATTTATTTCTAAATAACTATTCTTTTTGTAGTAATTACTAGTGTTGATATATATGGTTAAGCCACTTCTTTTCAATGAGATTGTTGTTTTTTCAATAAAATCATTTGGAATCATATGTGATAATATTAACATAAATAATAATAGTTTTAATCTTTCTTAATAATAAAGGAACTAATTTTTTTTTGTAAGTTCTAAAACACAAATTTGTGCTTTAAATGCTTTATAAATATAAGTACATATTTATATTATGTAAGAATTCAAATAAAATAAGTAATGTATACATAATATATTCAATTAAATATAATATTATAAATATAATATTTTTATTCTTCTAAAATAAGAGATGTTGTTTTATACTTTTTTTGCATATATATCTTCATGTAATATTTTTTTTTGATAAATGCGCTAAAAATATTTATTTCAGATTTTAGAAAAAAAAATTGATAGATACATATTATAGCAATTTAAAATAAAATTTTATTAGTTATTTTTTAATCTTTAATAAGTTTTTTTATTACTATTATTAATTTTATTAATTAATATTATTATAAGTTATTAGAAAATATAATATTATCCTTTATTTTTTTCATTTAAAATAAAAAAGATGGTTTTGTTTAATACAAGTGAAACTCTTTCAAAGAAATATGAAAAAATAGAAATAGAGAAGTATGTATATTAAAAAAGAAATTGGAATGGCTATTGCCAAAAAACAAAGAAACTAGAGACTCTTAAAACTATACTAGAAGCAAGAAAAGAGTTGACAAGAGTTAAGAAGGTTTTTTTCTTGCCTCTATATATACTATCTACTTAGGATCTATGTGGCGATGTTCTATAGGACCTCCAAATATGGATTGACTTTGCATGACATGTATCTTAACTTCCAAGGTAAGTTTTCTATATAGGTGCCACATAATTAGCTTGTTCCATAAGCTACTAACACATGTGACATATAATTAGCTTGTTATCTAAGTTTCTAACCTACTAATCCACTACAAACACATATAAAGTCAAAACATCATCTAGGAAGCTTATGGTAAGTTTTTTTAGAAAGTATTATGAAATTAATCATATTATCTAAGTAATAATTACAATAGATATATATCCGTAATAATAAGTATATTACTATTGAATGATAAGAAAAAGGAGAAGAATATAAAATATTAGCAAATACATATACTAATACTAAAACTATAATAATTCATCAAAATATGATATAAAGTTAGATCTTCTTCACCTTCACACATCTCCATTTTTTTTTGTATTGAATATTATTACATTTCATTTTTTTTGAATTAAATTAAAAGTAACTTTTAAGTGATTGAGTTTAAATAGAAGTAATGAAACATGACTAGACTATCTCAAAAATCCAAGATCCTTCCAATCCACAACAACATAAAGCCTCCTCACAAAATAAGACAAAATAAACTAAAACAAAACTGAATGGAATTAAACAAAATAGGACATGAAAGACAAAATTGAGCAAACAAAAATAAAACAGAAGAAATCTGAATAAAAAGATGCAAAACCAAACTTTACTAAGGGAAAGGGTCTAAAGCCATACATGACCAAATGCTCCAAAAGGCCCTGGCCAGTCCTATTTATACCTTATCCTACCACCCTAGATCTTCTAGAATGTTCTTAAGTGGTGGATCCTACTTAAATAACCACCTTAAACTCCTTTTCTAGAGGATTCTATAGTAGGCCCTACTTAGATAATTGTCCTAAGTTTTCTTCTAGAAGATTCTATGGTGGATCCTACTTAAATAATTACCTTAAATTCTTTCCAGAGTATTCTAAGATAGACTTTACTCGGTCCACTAACTTAATCCAAATTCTAAAAACTTCCATGGTTTTAATATAATTAACTTATTTATACCCTATTATAATTAATCCTCATCCACTAATGTGGAATTTCCTCATTTTGCTTTCAATCATAACTCCAAATGGTCTTTTGGTAATATGTGAGATTTTTTGTAGGTTTTTACATTATATTGTGAATGAAATAACCTTTCCAAAGAACTTTGTATTGAAGTTATAGATGTCCATTACCATGATGGAGGTAGCGATGCTCCAAAACATTGTCCACTTCATATTCTTGTTGGTCATCAATTACAACTAGTGGTTGTGGTTGGTGTCGATCCAAAAAGTACTTTGGCTTAGTATGAAATTTCTTTAGTTGCAAAACATTGAAGATTAAATGGACCTGAATATGTGACAGAAGCTCGATGTGGTATGCAACATCAAAAATCACTGCAAAAATATGGAGGGGTCCAAGCCACCAAGGTGCTAATTTATGAATTTTGATTGATGTAGCAAGTGGCAAGTTGGCATTGGAGAGTAATACTTGATCACCTTCTTGAAAGGTCTTATGTTACCAATGGTTATCCACATACTACTTTTGTCGATTTTATGCAATAAAGAGGCGGTGTCGTACTTCTTATAAGGTCATTGTAAGCTATTGTATAAATTCCTCTATTGTCGGATTGTTGGTGTCAACGAGATAATGAAAAATAGATGGCGCAATTGGATGTTGACTGGTGTTTGAGAAAAATGGTGAATGATTGATACTTACTTGAATATTAT